TTGGAGTCTGAGCGGAGGAAGTCGATTAGTCTTTGTCTTAACCCGGTGGGAAGCTTGGATCCTATCAGCAATTTCTGGCCCGTGTTTCCTTCTTTCAGGGGGACCTCGTCCATCTCTTCTACCTCAGGCTCCTTCGCGTGTAAGGTCGAAGGGACCTTCAGTAATTGCTATAAGACCGGGATTTTTCCTTTTAGAGTAGTTTGATAGCAGGCCTTAGCATTCTCTTGATCTCCTTTGATTACCCTGATGCCCCAGGGGGTCCGGAATTTGATGGATTGATGAAGAGTTGAGGGTACGGCCCCCATTTCGTGTATCCAGGGCCGGCCCAGTATCATGTTGTAGGAAGATGCGCAGTCGACAACGAGGAATTTCGTTGGTTGGTTTACCCCTTCGGCGTATACTGGGAGGATTACCTCTCCCAAGGTGTTCTTAACCTCTCCACTGAAGCTTATAAGCGGAGTAACCTTCCTTGTTAGTGCCTTTTCCTCCAGCCCTAGGTCGGTGTAGGCTGGGAGGAAGATGATAATGCCGGAGCTACCGTTGTCTATCAAGATCCGTCTCACCCAGCAGTTTGCTACGGTGAGGGAGATGACCAGGGCGTCATAATGGGGAGCCAGGACCCTCTCCTATTCCTTGGCAGTGAAACTGACCTCATCTGTCCCAAGAAGTAGGCACTTTGGGTCCCTCGTCTCTTGGCCGTGCCTTGCGTTCCTGGTGCTGCGCTTAGCGGCCGCGTGGCTTATACCGCTTATCTTTGAGCCTCCGGAGATGACATGGATAACTAGGTCTTGGTGCGGGGGAGACGCAGGCCTTGTTTCGCGCCTTCCTTAGCCTGGATGCTTTTGGCCTTATCGGAGAGGAACTCCTTTAGGTGCCCCTTCTGGTGGCGCTCGTTGACTTCCAACCTCAGGGAAATGCAGTCTTCCGTCTTGTGACCGTGGTCATGGTGGAAGTCGCAACGTCAGTTGGGGTTTGGATTAGCAACCGCGGCCTTCATTTTAGGAGGCCATTTGACCTGCTGACCCATCTGCCTTAGGACGTTCACCAGCTCGGGCTTTGAAATGGATAGGTGAGAGATGTCGGGCCATGTGATACGTTTATCCCCTCGAGTCGAGGTAGGGGACGATTCGGGCGCCTGTACCTGCTGTATCCTCCGGCCTCCCATGGGTGCCTGGACTGGGACCCTTCATTGTGATCATTCCTAAGCGGCCTGCTAGGCCTAGGTTCTTGCTTCTGATTAGCCTTGGCCCGACTCGTGACGTCTTCTTCCCATCTCACTTGGGCCCAGGCCCTAGATAGGACATCTTCCATTGTTTTACACTGATACATAGTTAGTTCTTTGTACAGGTCCCCATCTGGAAGCACCAGGCCTCTTTTGAAGGCGGAGATAGCTGCCCCTGCGTTGCATTCAGGGATCGCCACCTTTTCTTGGTTGAAGCGCACGATATAGGCCCGAAGAGGTTCGGTCCTGTGCTGGAGTACTTCGTAGAGGTCGTCGGAATTCTTTTCCATGTTTCTGCTGCTGGCAAATTGCTCCACGAACTTGTCGCTGAGTTCTGCAAAGGATCTTATGGATTTCGTGGGGAGATTGATGTACCACTGAAAAGAATGACCGGTTAGGGTTGAGCCAAAGCCCCTGCACATGGCAGGTTCCCTCAGTCCTCGAAGGACTGCTGCTGTTAGCGTTCGCTGTTTGTAGAGGGCCACGTGGTTGTCTGGATTGCTGGTCCCGTCATAAGTCTTCATGGTAGGGAAGGAGAATTTCCTTGGCATCTCGACCGAGGCGATCTCTTCCACCATTGACTGGATGGTGTTGAACTTCTCGGAGAACATCTTCTCGAGATACGCCACGGTTGGCTGGATCTGAGATCAAGGGGTCTTCTGGTGAGTACTCCTTGTCCTCCATATCAGAGTCTCTGCTGAGGTTCACCTGTGTCCTTCTTGTCGTTGCTTCCTTGCCTTCAGGTTCTTTGTTGTCGGGAGTATCGAGGGAGGGCATGGTTCGGACTCGGGTTTGAAACCTCCAACGCTTGTTGCTGTTCTTCCCGAGATCTTGGTTTTCTTCTTGGAGAAGATGGTTTTCGGCTTCGAGTACCCCTACTTTCCTCGCGCTTTGTTGAAGTTTTTGAGTATGCTCGTCGAGTTTAGATTTTAAGATTTGAACTTCTTGGAGAAGCTCTGAGCTGTCCCCAGCTGTTCCTCCAGCCTCGCGAAGCTCGGTGATTTCTCCTCGAAGGGCGTTGAGCTGACCGATGAGCTCGGCTTCTCTTGGAGTAGCTCCGATGGGTTCGGCTGAGTCTTCTAGTGTCATCGTCACATAGTTGGATTATTTCCCTCCTTCTAGCGCCAAGCTGTTATGGTATTTTTGTGTAGGGTCATTTTAGTACTACGGAACACAAGAAGGTTCAAGTTAAGACCGAAAGAAGCAAAGGTGTTTGTAGGAGACAAGGAAAAATTAGGAGGAACTCGTATGAGATAAACAAGAAGAAAGTAGAGAAAGAGAGATCTTATTGATTATTCGACGGAGGCTACAATATGTGTGTAAGAACCCTAGCCATCTAGATCTAGTCTCTAGATCTCTAAGTGTCGATCCCTTATGCTAGGGTTCTGGTTCCCCTTATATAAATGTAGATGTCGGCTTGCATTAGGTTAAACTCTTCCATATTGGCGAATATGGAAGAGTTTCCTTGTATGGAGAACTTCCATTTTACTTAAGGGTCGGTTTTAGAAAAGGGGTCAGGCCCGGGGAACCTTAAGTCAAGGTTCGGGCCCTGGGTCTCTTTGGAGCCGGGGTCTAGAGGCCGGTGCCCAACCCGGAGGCTGGAGGAATCTGGTGCCTGGATATTTTTTCCCAATAGCTACTATTAGCCAGATGAAGCTCTATACTCATTGTTGCATGTACACAATATACAGAATACATATAAACTCCATAGCCAATTCGACGGCCGCCAAGGAAAGAATTGACCTAGAAGATCGTCCTCATCGACATACTCAACAATTGGCGAATCTCTGCTATTACCATTGAATATATGAAGATATAAGTTCATTGCAGCACGTCTGCAACTCAACTTATTGCCTCAGGCCACGGTCTTCAGGTCATTAGTAGGAAAGCTCCATGCTCACCGAAGCATATCGACACTCTATTCTCATGGTACCACATTGACGATCTACCATCTGTTACGGCCATGTGCCCTCTCGAATAGATGACTTCTATTCACTACAGAGCCATGTGCTCCCAAAGCTACGTGCCTCTTTAAGGCTATGTGCCTCTCTAAGGCTAAGTACTTCTCAAAGGCTGAGTGCCTCCCAAAGACTACATGCCTCTCCAAGGCTACGTGCCTCTCGAAGGTTACGTGCCTCCCTAAGGCTACGAGCCTCTCCAAGGCTACGTGCCTCTCCAAGGCTACGTGCCTCCCTAAGTCGACTAGCCTCTCCAAGGCTACGTGCCTCTCCAAGGCTACGTGCCTTTCCAAAGCTATGTGCCTCTCCAAGGCTATGTGCCTCTCCAAGGCTATGTGCCTCTCCAAGGCTACGTGCCTCTCCAAGGCTATGTGACTCTCCAAGGCTATGTTCCTCTCCTAGGCTATGCGCCTCCATTAGGCTATGTGCCTCCATCAGTCTACGCGCCTCTACCACTATGAACTACGAATGGCTTGATCCCCTTCCGAGGGGTACGTAGGAAATCCCCACTGTAGGATGCAGCTATAAATCCAAACACCATCCATGGTTCCACGCTTGGATGACCTAATAACCTCCTTAGGTATCGAGCTCATGATATTCTAAGGAAGGAAGACCTTGCAGCCTTCACTATAGACAGGCAGCCCCTGCCTAAAGACTAATATCCCTTACAGCTACTAAGGCCCTGGCGACATAGCATTACAGCAACGTGTCTCCTTCCATATCCTTCTGTAGGCTGAGCACAAATCGCTTGTAGCCGAAAAATACCCTAACAGTAACTTCATGAAGGGATGTCGAAAAAGTGGTTAGTGTTAATCCTTCTCTGCCTTTTTTTACGTTCCCTGCAGGGGACCCGGGGGTCAAGACCCTGCTAGAAGGCTGGAGGAAAATGATACATGAGTATTTTTCCCCAACAAACCCTAAATTCTTGGGCAAACCCTAACCCCTTAGATAAATTCTAAAATCTAAATTAAAAACAGTAAACACTAAACCTGAAATACTAAACCCTAAATCTTAAATCCTAAACTCTAAATCCTAAACCCTAAACCTTAAATTGTAAACTCTAAATCCTAAACCCTTAATTATAAACCCTAAACCTTTGAGTGTTTTAATGTTTAGCATTTTTGGTTTTGAGTTTAATTAGGATTTATCCAAGGGTTTAAAGTTTATCTAAAGGTTTAGGGTTAGGATTTAGAGTTTAGGATTTATTGTTTTGCTTACGATGTTAAATTTTTTTTTTAAATCCATTTTTCATAATTACTATTTTTTTTTTACCTTTTATTTTAAAACAGAATAAAACTTGACAATACTTCGTTTCTTTTTTTTAAAAGGTATCAAATATGAAATAATAAATTTCTATTGGTTGCTGAACTTAGAGCTTCACCCTAGGGGACAAAGTCCAAGAATAAGTCTTAAATTTTAGTCATACAATTATTAATTTATAGTTTTTGCTGTACATGTACATGGAATCTTATTGTTCTCTTTTCCACAAACTCTCTTTTATAATTAGTGATTACAGTTTTTTTTTTTATCTTAGATCGTTCAATCCAATGCCACAAATAGCATTTCTTGCTTAAATGTATGGAAATGAATAATGAAAGATTCACGGCTAATTGTTAACGAAAACGAAGGAACCTCTGGTTACATCAGAAGTCAATTATATTTAGATACTCTAAGGTAGTAGTCTTATTAAACGTTTAGCAATAAAGAAAATAAATTGTGAACATACGATGATTTGTTTTTATCCCCCTTATGCACACATAACAATCAATATTGTAGCCTTTTTTCTCCTCTCGCCATGGTCATCTGCAACCGGAAAATCCATGATTTTTAGCAAGTTACCAATGCAAGGAGCAACATGCCCATTTCCGTCCTTGCTAATATCGAAGGCTTGCAAAGGAACTGCATCTATCTCGTCCCAAGAACAAGCATGTATAGAATCCCTAACCTCTAATCGCCACACAGCCTCCGCATCAACTTTATATGAGTTGGCTAACGTGTCTTTCGCGCTGGCGATGGAGAAGGCAGCAAGAACGATGATTCTCATCGGTTTTCCAAAGAAACCGTGTTTCAAGAGTTGTGCGGAAAACTATAAAGATTCTGTCGTCGAAGGGCTAAAGAAGGCAAAGTGGTCGTTGGAGAAAGGAGATCTGGATGAGGCCGATGATGAGCTTAGCGTCGCACGTGACGCAGCTGATTATTGTCATATGGTTTTGTCGGTTGATCCGGACGATGCAAGATCTCCGATTTTTTTGGCCAACAAAGATGTGTATAATCATATTACATATGCCATGAGTGTGGCGGACTTGTTATAGAGTCCAAATCTCCTACTTTCATTAAAATACGATATAATTTAGTGTAAAATATTGTTTCGTTTGTTGCTGTTAAAAAATGTATATATATATATATATCAAATAAATTTAAAAGACATGCCAATGCTGTTAAAAAAACATTTTAAACAAATATAAGTTTCTTTGTAATAAACATTGCATCCCTCATGCCGGATGAAAACAACTTTGTACCCCGGAAGATACACATGAGACACAACTCACAGGGATTGAGGAAGACATCTGAACTGTAGTTTAAATATGATGGACAGATACCAACAATCTATAATGAGAATGATGAGGACATATGACAATTGTGTTTCCTTAAGGTTTAAAGTATCCTATTTCAAGATATCAAATTACCCTAAGACACAACTAAAATACTCATGCTAAGGGAAGTTTAGTTGAAGTACTTTGATCCGCAGAGAGCGACGACACACAATAGATTTGTATTCTTCTAATGATTAAGCTAGGTGGTTTTTTTATAGTGGTTATCAAGTTTAAGTAAAAAAAGAAATATTCTAAATTTAAATGAATGCAAATATGAAAAAATAGATAGATCTAGGATTTAGGTACATGGATTATAATAGGTAGAATGTAGGGTTACACTAATATGCTAGGACTAAACCGTCTTTTTAATCCGAGATATCTACCATCGATCGACTATGTAACACTGGTGTCGATCGATAGTAAGGTCGAACATGAACTATTACGAGTTTTATACGTCCACTAAATTGGTTCGACCAGCTCTTGCATGAACCTAACAACCTAGTTCAATAGAACTCGTTCAGACACAAAACCTACTCTCTCAGTTGTCTATGCCCTAAGATCGTGTACTAGTTAGCTACTCTAGAACACATACATTAAGAACAATCCTAATTGATGGATATAACTCCTCTTAAAAGTTCTTGTTTTGGCCTATCCAGCGATACCATTAAGAACCCAAAATCTAACAATGTGAAATTATTCAAATATTATCAAGAAAATAAGATCAGTATACTAAATAAAATGCATATATAATAAATTGGGGTTCCAATACAAAGCTATGAAGAAGTTATGATCTTCTCCCATAAAACAATATGAAAAAATAGAAAATAAAAGAACGGTTGTCTAAGTCGGTTCTGAACAAAGTCTGGTATGTGATCCTCGTCCATCGATCGACGCCAAGGTGACTATCAATTGATACCAATCTTGTGTATCGACTGACTTAGTTGATTCTTGTCAGCAACAGGTTTCTTCATCCAATTTTCACCGTGTACTCCATATAACTCCAAAACGTACATGGATCTGTAAATACTCTAAAATATAGTCTAGACACAAATAATAAACTCCAAATGAGGTCCATAACACGGTTTAAAACTGGTAAATAATAAGGCATATCAACATAACTAAACCTAAAACTAAATAAACGAAGACATAAAAGGTTCCATTAATACTCAACTCAAAAGCGTTATCAAAAATATTCAATTCTACAGATACTGATTCGGGTTCGGTTTAATCTTACCGTTGATCGTTGTTTTCTTCCATGTTGCTTCCGTTATTCTGAAATAATCAGCTTCTTCTCAAAAAATGTCAGCCTGTTCCAAAGCGAGACCTCGGTACTCAATGAACTCTTCTTCGAGGAAATCCTCATCATACTCGTTGTAAGCCTGATCGTTATCTGAATCTGGATGTCGAGTGTCGATTGATTCTGAAGGGTGGGTATCGATCGGTTTCTGATATGCATGACTGTCGATCAATTGAATGGGCTGGGTGTCGATCGATGCTCTTTCATCTGACTCTTCTTTCTGGTCGTAATCGCAGAAGCATGTGGCAATGAGACCTGGATAATTACCCAATTTGATGAGAGTAGTTATATTCTTAACTTTAATAGGTTCATAGTAATTATTCTGATCAACCAAGGAAAGATACAAATTGTTTGTTACCATGTCGCAAATATCTCCGACTGTAGCCATGAAAGCTCTCCCAGTAGTAGAGAAGAGTTCCTAGCGATCTGGATATCCATCACGTGGAAGTCTATTAGGACTGAGGCATTGAAAATCTGTAGTTGAACGTCTCTCACCATCCCTACTGAATTCACCTTGAAGCAATCCACAAAGGTGAAAGAAGCACTCGAAGGCTCCACTTTTAAGTTTAGATTTTCTCCCATAGCTCTAAGCATGGTACTCGCTGATGATCCAGTATCGCAGAGGGAATTAGGATTCGTGCCCCTTGACGAAACATGGAATCACAAACTTGCCATGATCACTTTTCTTCTTGAGATTGATCCTCTACTTCATATTTTCTCTGAGGGGGTTGAACATTCTCTCTCTGTCCTCATCTGTCTCCTTGGTTTCCCTGAAAAACATCCACAATCTATGATTATAATAAGCTTCATGAAATGGACTATCAGAAAGAACTTTAAAAACTCTTCTGGCAAAGCCTTCCATCTATTTTTCATTTGCTTCTTTACGTAGATGTTTGGGAATCTTCTGCTTCTTTCCGGAGTGTTTTTCTGTTTCCTTATCCACTATCATAGGCTCTGATGTATGTATGCTTTGCTCAGAAGTGTATTTACTCGGATTTCTAACCAGCAAACTTGCATCGATTCTTGGAAACGAGCTGGTTCTGTGGTAGGTTACCATCGATCAACACTTCTACCCCTTTACCATCTATGGAGACTTCTAAGCATCCATCCATAGATGTTCACACAAAGCCTATGACTCTGCAGGTTCCATCGATTGATGCTCAACACTTAGTGTCGATCGACATTATTGCAAACTGCCGAATGACACAACATTTTCTACACAGAAATACCCTTTTTGGAGCTTTTCTCTTCTCACTTCTTGCCAAGAGTCATTGATATACCATGGATTTTACCCACTTCTTACCGTGGTATATAAGTTTTTTTTTATATCTAACTATTGTGTGTTTAGAGTCTATTTAGTATATTTATAGGTTTAACAGTGATTTAGAAGAAAGTGATGTCTTTGGACCATTTAGGAGCATTTCAGAGATAAAAGGATAAATCACCCTAACTGGCCATCGAGCAGACCAAAGGTCGACGATCAAAGTCGATAATCAATCGATGAACACCCTGTGGCATCGATCGACAGTCATCACGCGCAGAAAACTGATTTGGCTCCAGCTGACATAATGTCTAAGACTTCACCTAATTACGAGATTATCCTTGCACGAGTCTTTACCTATGTTTATTGCTTTATTAATTGTTTGCGGCAGTGTGTTCTTTCTTATTTTCTAGTTTTCATATCTAAAGATTAGTAAGGGTTGGAGAGGAGATTTAAGACTTCTTCATAGCTTGTTATTTGAACTCCATTATTACTTATCTATCTATGCAGTTTTCTATATACCTTTTTATTATGAATTTGTTAGCTATGTCTGAGTAGTTCTTTACTTAGATTTAGGGTTCAAATATGTTATGAGGGATTAGCGTCAATTATAGAATTGCTAATTTGTGATATTCATCAATAGGATATTCTTAATGCTTTTTTTCTAGAATAACTAACTAGGACCCTGACTTTAGAATCACTAGGCACAATGCGGCTGCTTGGTCTTGTATCTGAATGATCCTCACTGAAATAGGATTTCTAGAAACAAGCGATAGCAAATTTAGGAAGCCTAGTGAGTACTTTATGAAGCCGCGCGCAAAGCTTACTAGAATATCGTCGATCAATATTCTTATAGAATAATAGATCGACGGTGTCAAAAACGCATTTGGATGGAGGATGTCTTATACGAGTGCTCCTCCTTAGTGGTTGCTCCACTATCTCAACCTCCTCCTCCTCTTCTCCCTGCTCACTTACATCTTCATTTTCCTCATGAGATGCCACACCTTGATCAGAAGACCCGGATCTAGAACCTTCTTGATCTTCTTGACCACTTGGTTCTTCTTCATTGTTGTTTGGCTCATGTTCTTCTTGACCATTAGAGCCGCCTTGATTCTCATTATTTCTCCCCCTCTCATGATCAAGGTGAGGAGAATGACTTTCATCTTCTGCTTAACACCAGCATTCTTCTAGCTACTGGATCATAGCATCTATACCCTTTTTGGCTTGTAGAATAACCAACAAACATAGTCTTGGTACTCTTTGTTGACATGAAGAAATAAAGAGCAAGAGAAGCAAGAGGATTTGAATTAGGCAATAAGAGGAGTTTACTTGGTTAACAAGACTGGTCGTACAACCAAAGTGCGACTTGCGAGCAAAGGAAGCCAAGAGTAAAGTATGGGCGAGTGTATCTCATTCAGAATACTCAAATATACTTGCCAAGGCAATATGACCGTTGGAGATGCAGCTCACGTGAAGGGTTGAGGTTTAGGCCACCACCAGAAGTTAGGAGAGGTCACTTTCAGCCTGCTTTGTCTTCTACCAAGCATTTGGACTCTTCCTCCTTTGTTTATTCTTATCTTGGGGTTTACTAAATTAATAGTTTCCTAGGATATTTTGTATGGCCTATTTATGTAACACATTCAGCAAGATAATAGACTAAGGAAATCATATTCTCTCCTTCTCTCTCTCTCACTCACGAAATCCCTCACTCTCTCTCCTGTTCTTGCTATTCTTCACATTTCCAGCAACAAACTCTTTCTTAATCTCATTTAAACACTCACTAAATTACTAAATCTCACATGGTATCAGAGCTGTATGCTCTTGAGACCTAAATCTCTACTTACTTCCGCAAATTCTTTGAGTTTCATTTCTATTTTTGGAAAAGTTCATCTTGTTCTTCAGCTGTTCATCATTTCCAGCTCCAGAAATTGCCAAAAATGGAAAAGTGACCCTAGAGGGTAAAGATGATTTCGACCAAGAAAATGAAGAAGGAGAACCTTATTCCAGTGACCCTAGAGGGTCCTAACTATCTCTTGTGGTCAAGAGTGTCCAGGGTTACTTTGGGAAGTCATGGACTTTTGGACAGCCATATCATGGAGGCTGAAACTTCAAAGAGGATGGCTCAGGAGGATAGTAAGGCTGCTTGCCTGAAGCATGAAG